TTGAAAGACGACTGGCTATCACGCGAGCTAACGTGCGATGCGAAGAGTCGCACACACGCCGTGCGATTAATTGATTCCTGGAATTCGATGTAAGTTCGAGAGCGAGCGAGAGCCTATAAACGAGCTCGCGAGACCAATATTCGCATATATACGTATATATATATATATATATATATATATATATATATATGTATGTGTGTATGTGTGTTTATATATATATATATATATATATATATATAATATGTGTATCCGGCTACGTCGATTTGTCCGATCTCCGGCATGTTCTCTATCGATTCTAATTCCGATCGCTCAAAACCAGCTACGATGCTCTGTTACATGCGAATGACATTTGCCAATGATTGTAACTAATAAATATAGCAGAGCAGAATAATATAATTTCGTCTAATCAAAAGCTATTGATGTCGCTTAGTTTGTAATATATGTTAATTCTTGATATTATTTAAATTTTTAAATTAATTAAAGTATAAAAACAACAATATTATATATATGTAATTACATAATATTGTTATCGACAAAAATGTTGACTTTTAACTAACGTTCATTAATTTTGTATGCGTTGTTAACAATATAATTGTTATATGCGAGGCAATAGAAATGATTAATTTAATAATATTGTTTGTAATGATATATTAATATGTTTATTAAATATATTTATCAAATAATCAAGATATTCCATGACACAATTGACATTATTAGAGAAATGTTTTGGAGCAGTTCATAACTGAAAACAGCTGCATAAAATAAAAAATTTGTAGCATTTGAAATAAAATTTCGATTTTGTGACGGAGTTAATATTAATCAGATAGGATATATAATAAATCAGGTAATGTAAAAAAATAATTTTCATCTTATGCGTGTGTGTGTGTGTGTGTGTGTGTGTGTGTATGTGTACAATTGTATGCACACAGTAGACTTAATCGATTTTTTTATCACATAATTTTATGACTAAATCTCGTTATATATATATATATATATATATATATACTAAATATCTGATGCACATTAAAATATGAATTAATTATTATTTTAAGGTACTCCAGTACTTAACAATCATGTTTTTAAAAGAATATGTATGTTTTTCATTCCCAATTCCGACGTTTATCGAAAACGACAGAGGAAGAATCGCGACAGTTTTATATCGACTATATCCGAAAGAAAATACACGCGCCGCTCCGTCAGTTAATTCAACAAAGCGGTAGTGGCTCTGACTCGAAGTCGTACTACTGTCTACAAAATACAATTAATACGGTAACTAAGAGTAACAACGTGTTCCGTTGTAACATTCCGCTGTAAAAGAGATTAGATTGTCCGCATAGTCACTATTTAGCGTTATTACGCTCGGACGCAAACACTACGTCCGGCGGTGCTTCCAGCGATTTAATTCGTGGGCGTACTTTCATTCGTTCCCATCTTCCAGAGCGTAGAGACAACCGAATTCGGAAAGCGGCAAACGGTCCCGAAATTACTTTTATCCAGCACATTCGCGTTGCAGGTCGCGTTTCCTTGCCTTGCTATCGTACTATCTTGGTATAGAATAATCGTTTGGCACTGTGTTCTACTGAATTCGCAATTCAAGTCACGACTATAACTAGCACATCGGCGAGAGGTCGTGCGAACCTTTGCGACGGAATCACAAACTCCACATAAACGTGCTGAAATCGCGAGAGCGTCGAAAACTCTCGAGATTGCTAAGATCTATGAATCAGAGGTTCCTTTATTGCGAAATCTGAATGGAAGAATCTAAAACTTGGAGATCGGAGAATTTAAACTACATCGCGGAAACATCGCGCAAACATCGAACTTTATTCTAGAATGCTAGAACTAATAAGTATATAATAAATAATATACAAACGATATGCCTATTGTTAAAATGTATTAAATAAAAAAATAATATATCAGTAGCTCTAAATTTCTCTGGTACTTCTATTAATTCTTATAGAAAAAAATTGTTCTAATTATGAAAATTAAATTATCATAAAAATAATGTCATAGAAAAAATCCTTAGAAAACTTTTAATATTGTTGCGTATACTGCAATGCCTTTTGAAACGTTCTATCAAATGTATCTATCAAAACAATTATTATCAATTAACCTTCGAAAACCATAATTAAATTATAATTATTAATGATTATGTGATGAATTAAAAGGGTGCGATAATTATTAATCATAATAGTATTCTATGATTAATGTAATATTAATTTAATTATTAATATAATTAGGTTAATCAATTATATCAATATAATTTCGATAGCAAAAAAATCCCAAAATTCCGATCTTTTTTCCGCCGAAAAATCTCACCTCTGATTTACAATAAAGCGATTTGCAGCTTTCCTCGGTTATCACGGCGACCGTGGAAGTGGAAATGGAACGGCAGTGGGCGGACGTTGGGCAGTTAGACTAACGATTGGGACGTCAGGCGTCATGGAACTGTTTTCTTTAATCTTCTAGCCCGCGCTCCTCGAGTCTGAACGCACGAGGACCACGTATATATGTCCAGCTTATTAGAGCGGACGAGTGTATGTATGTGTGTGTATATATACATATATATATGTGTATATATGTATATATGTATATATATATATATATGGCGAAACGGCGAGAAGTGGGAAATTAAAAGGGTGCAAACGCAAGCGAAACGCTTCCCGCGCCTCGCCGCGAATTCTCGTTGACATTCGTTGGACATGTTTCCTCTTAATAAAATCTTGACACGATGGTCGCTCCACCCGACCACGGACACAATATCGACGTATCATCTAATCGTAAAATTACATTCTTATCGAGACGGTATAATAATACAGTAATTACGGACTAAATTGGCCTATCGCAGCACCGGGCCGGTCTTGGAGGGAAATTGAATTTTCGCCCGACGGAATAGATTCTCCTCTACTACTTGCTCATTTTCTCCAACTCTCTTTTTTATTCTCACTCCATCTCTCTTCCCTCGTTTCTAAACACTTTTCTTTTTGGCACGATAGACATTAGCTGGCAATCTAGAGATTTTCCTTATTCTTTCTCTCTCCTCCTTTTGCGTTTCATCTTCACGCTTACGCTTTTCGTTTCTTGGGTAGAGGTACCGGCCGGCCGGCATCTGGCGATCAACCCTATTCGTTAGATAGCACCTTCGTTATTCAACTTCGTTTCGCGTACTTTCGAGAGCGCGCGAAAGTACACAGAGCAGCAAGTACACTATACATCACTTAAGGGCTAGGTAAGTTGTTTCTGACCAAGTGAAGGGATCCGATCTCGTAAATGATCCTTCAAACTCGCATGAATTGTCTTACGTTCTCTCTCTCTCTCTCTCTCTCTCTCT